ACACGAAGAGCCTCCTTCTCCTCCTCCTCGTAGAAATCGCTGCCAATTGACCCCACCAATACGGGAACGGAAGAGCATCGCTTGAGAATCTCAATAGGCTTGGAATGGTGCTGGTGGTGCTGCTTGGGCGATCGCCGAGATTGATGGGTCCTCCGGTGCGTCGAAGGAGATAGGTTCGGCGGTCTGGTTTTCTGGCCTCTGCTCACCTGAGATCGTCGCCGGAGACCCCTTTCTGACATAAAAGTAAATAATCGTAGCAGAAGATATGAATGGTAGGGTTGAGATTTGTGAAGAAATTATATATATATATATATGTTTGTTTGCTTAATGGGTTTTGGAAGCTTTGAGAGGAGAGAACTGAGAAACGGAAGAGAGAGGAGGAGGAGGAAGTTGAAGAGGGAGGTAAAGTAGTTGGTGGGGGGATTTTGCGTGAGAGGGAAGAGAAAGATTTCCTTTACTTTCTGGTTCGTGCTGCATAGCGCGTGTCCATTAACCGCTGCTTTTGAGGTTTTACCGAAACGCATTAAATTTATAAATAAAATTTTAAAAATTAAAAAATATAAAAATTGATAATTAATTTATTATTTAAACGTTAATAAATTTAATTATTTTTATTAATAATATATTATTTAATTTAAAATTTTCATCTTTCTAACATTACCTTTGACTCCTTAATTTTTTTGGTAAAAATAAAAAGACTAAAAACAAGAGCTCAAGCAAACTTATTCAACAATAAATTTACATCAAAACATCTCAAGTCGCCCTTTTTTTTTCTTTTTTTTTTCTGGTGTTATTATTTATTTACTTCTATTTTTTATTTTATTGAAGTTTACGTCAGTACTTTTGATTGGTGGGTTCGTGTCTTGGGCCAGATGTCCACAATGTCGAGTAGCTTAGGTGGTGGTGGTGCTTCTTGCATGCGACTTGCCTCAACTGAGAGAGAAAGATGGTGCTTTGTGTCTTTATGCTTTATATCTTGTCCAAGATGAAATTGTTTCATTTTATAGGATGTGATAGTAACGGTATAATCGTGTGGTGTTATGTAAAATGTTTTGGGTAAATCTCAGTTTACTACCATCAAGTTTTGTGGTTTTTAATATTTAGTACATGAAGTTTTTTTCGTCCCAAAATCATGCCTAAAGTGTTAATTTTGGAACTATCTCATACATCCATTAGTTGAACATCATGTGAAGGACTGTGCCCTGGCCACGGGCAGGAGCACTAACACCGGGGTGCAGGATAATGAGCTCAAAATGCCACTACGTATAACCACACACAATGCAACTAATATCATCATGATGTACTCACCTGAAGCTTACTTGAGCCTCCGCAACATCATTCAATATCATGCATAACTATACTAGGGCAATACTAAAATGTAATGCACTTATGACATGGCATTTAAAACATAAGTTCATTTAAAACAGTTTCTAGGAATCGTAAGCATATATACATATATAGAAAACAAAAGCTCACTCACTGGTAAGTAGCAGGATCGTAACCCCCAAGTCTCGCTTGACCACGCTTATCCTCAGGGTACGTCTCACCTATACGTGAAATAACTAATTTAACGTTAATTTTAAAGAACATACACAAACCCTAGGAATAACTTCTCATACGTTGTTCAAATAGGGTGTTTGAATATACCAACGTGACCTACTCAACACCACGAACACCCCCATATTTTTAGAAAAAATTTCCAACGTTCCACAAGCCCTCACCAGCCGGCCAAGGCATGGCCACACACACCGACCACACACAGGCACTTGCCTGGCACGCTGACGAAATCCCTAATGGTGTTAGGGAATATGCTGTTAAATAATATAATATTCTATTAAAGTTACTTGACGTCATCAATATATTCCGTCAAAGTTAACGGAATATTTTCTTCCTTCTCCGGTGGGCTTCGCCGAAGCCACTGCCGGCAGCCGTTTGTTTCGCCGATTTCTGGAAAATCTTAAAACTTTAATATCTTCGTCATTTTTCAACCAAATTCCACGAATTTTATATGGATTTGAATCTCTCAACTGGAAGAACACAATCTTACCTATTTGAGGTCCTAAAACCGATGGAAAGTGGTCGGAATAAGGCTTGGAATAACTAGCCAAACCTGCAACTCCGTGTTCTCATCTATTCCAACGTTTAAACTGCTCCAAAACTAATCTAGGGTCCCTATTAAGTTGATTAGGACCCACCTTGAGCCTTTAAACCTTAGAAAAAGACCATGATCATGACGGAGCAAGATACACCTCGCCGGAGCTCGCGAGTTCATGACTTCCCGACGTCTATTCCTCGACCTAAGGGTATGGACGAACTTGTGGAGTCACGAGAAAAGTGATGGTGGTGTCTAGATACTTGATCCATGAGGTTTGATAGTGTTTGTGAGCTGGAAGTCTCGGATCATACGGACGGGGAGAAGGGTCGAGAAGATGAGGGAAAGAAGGTATGGGTGTACGTGTGTGTGTGTGTGTATGTGTGTGGGCTATGGGGTTGGGCAGAATAAAATAGTCACAAGCCCTAATTGGGCTATATAATTTAGGGCATAAACAAATGAGTCCAAATAGAAATAAAACCAACCCGATTTCACTTATTCGTTCGTAACATTTTCGTTACAAACCCGATTCGACCATAATTCACGTAGACGCGCTCGTGACGTCGAATATGATTTAATTACGTTAGCAAGAAAATTAATTTAAAACTTCATATGTATATCCACATCACTAAACCACAAGGGCATTATCGTCCATTTTCCATTTTTCATCGTTAATTCCAGGCCATAAACATTAAAGGTCTTATTTTGTGTAAAATGTGACACGTGTTATTTGAAGAAGAGAAAAGTCCAAATACAAATGTTAGTGCAAAATTTCTAGTATTAATAAAAGAGTAACGCTACACTTATCTTATATTTGTACCATTATTTGGTAAGTCCTACTTTTATTAGAAAGATAGTACAAATGATGGTATAAATATGTGGATGAGGATCCTCTCCATATCCCCTTTGTGAGGATCTTAGGGATCAATTTATCTTAGTCATTTATTGTACATTGTGCAGCCAATTTTCGTTAGATAATGTTTATGTTTAATTTTTAATAAAAAATTAAAAATAATTTCTGACTACAAGATAACTAATAAACGGATAAGATAACCTGAACTCTAGGATAGTCACAAAAATAATCCGGAAAGATCATGTTCTCAAATATATGGTAAAAGTTGCATTTTTCTTAATAAAATACTTTGAGGCTCTGTTTGTTAGGCAGTCTTGACAAGGATTGGCTTAACTTAATTGAATAATTTTTTTGAGTTGGGTATAGAAAAATGATTACGAATTCAAATAAAATATTCAATGAAAAGACGAAAGCGTATGAAATAAAATAAGAAGTTCATTACCCAATGAAATTGCTTCCACGCCAATTTACTTAGTTTCAATTATTTTGGGGCGGTTCGCATATGGACATCTAGATGACGAGTACTAGCAATATGTAATAATATATATATATATATATTTACATTTTCGTCGAAGATATATATTGATGGAAAATGACATTTTCCGGATCCTTTCCACCAAATTCACCTAATCAATCAATCCAGACTCTTAAAATTTGATCCAACGACTGCAAACAAGAGGCCCCCTTAAAAGTTATAATAATTTTAGCCGTTAGATTAAATTTCAAAAGTCCGAATTACGTGATTAGATGGATTTGATGGAAGGGATCCAGAGATGATCCATTTCCGATATTGACAAACTAAATCACCTTCCACTCATAAAAGCACAAAGAAATGACCTCTAATTTGTAGTATACTCTCATTATATTATATTTTAGCGTTAATCTCAATTTACTATTTTGGTGTTTTTTTTTTCAACATACTCCTTTGATGATGTGGCGCTCACGTAGACAATGATTGGGCACCACATGTCAATATGGCACACATGAATATTAAAAAATTAAATAAAATTAAAAATGGTGATGCAGTGCAACGGTGGTGTGGTGACTATGGTTGTCTGTTGCCAGAGACGTGAAGAAAAAGGGAAGAGATGGGTTTGAGATGGTGACAGAGGGGGAGAAAGAAAGAGTCACGTCATCAGTTAACAGAGGTTCTGACGGAAAACTTAACGGATGTATGAAAATGTCACAGAATTATGACTTTAGGTACCCGACTGAGATAACAAAAATTAGTGTATGAAATATTAAAAGCCAAAAAATTTCAAAGCAATAAATTGAGATACACCCTATATTTTATGTTTTAAGAAATATATTTTAAGAAAATTGTGGTCAGATCGTTCAATCTTAATTCATAATAGATAGTTATTTAAATTTTGTTGTTCTACTTTCTTCTTCATGCTTGGATGAAAATTAAACAATAAGTGACCACAGTTTAGGAGAACAAAACTGCTATGTGATGATAAAGACATTGAAAAGAACAAGAGAAATGCTAAGAAGACTCTTTCAAAAGTAAGATTATGCATGAATTCTCTGTCATCATGTTTTTGATACAAAGTTTTATAATATTGACGCAAGAATTAATATTAAACTATGAGGTGACAAAGAATTCATAAATAATCTCACTTTAAAAGCATCTCCTTAACATTCGTCAAAGAACAACAAAGCAAACACTAAGTTCCATATTCCGTCGAGCCAATGAGGCCACGAAGACGGTGACTTCTCCAAGATTTAAAGTAGAAGAGATGTAGAAAATCAAAGGACACATCACGCTATGGCCAACAAGTTGTCGTCGACGTATCTACTTTGTTTATTCTAGAGAGTCAAGTGAAATTGTAAACTAAATTAACTTTGGGGGTCCTTAAGGCTTATAAATAAATATATATACACACATATATATTACTTCTTTGAGGTATAGGCACTTTTCAAGTAGACATATACACAATATTCCGCTTTGTAATCACAATACATTTTATGTTCAGCCACAAGTCACAATTTAAATGTATATATTTATGGTTTAAACACGTGACAACACACAAATTGAATGATGTATTAACTAAAGTTGGGCAAGGTTTTTGAATGGATGGATGATAAATTATGTGAAGAAGTTTATTATTTTTTGAAAAGAATGATGTAATGACGTTAAACTTGAGTAGCTTTTATTTTAGTTCTTTGTTTGACTTTTGAATTGACATTATCTACATACTAAAACCCGGTGGAAAAGTACTGTTTACCAGCAGTGAAATGATGGAATTGCCCTCAATTAGCTTTACTTGCGCAGTTGTTTTTCCGTCTTGGCACAGTGAAATTACGCATTTGTCCACCTTGGCCACGCGTCCATCATCGTCGGAACCTCTACTTCGACTGCAGCTTCTCGATTTTTCCATCCGTTTCCAGTTCTCTCTTTCGAAAATCTCTGCTTCCATTGCTCTGAACTTGCCTTCTGTCACTCTCAAACGCCGGGTGAGCTATCGACCACCACCTCTCTACCTTCTTCTTCTTCTTTCGCTTCTCCCTGTGCAAATCTGAGAGACGCCTACCACAATTGCTTCACCGGGTCCTCTCAGCATAAATTAGTTTTTATATTGCTCTTAAATCCTAATCTCTCTCTCCTCTCTCTAAAATCCATCTGAAAAAGGTATAATGGGTATTGTTTCTGTTTGCAGGTTGTACTCGGCGAAGTCTGTGAAGGACCAATAAATGGATTCGAAGATGAACCAAGTCAAGGGACACGGAGCTCAGAATATCGGAGCTATAAATTGGCTGCCTTGAAATTTTTTTATTTAATTAATTTCAACAGGTATCTAAGAAATTCTTAGTATGAATAGTGTCTGGGTTGACTCTTTGAGCATCTTGATTTTTTATATTAAATGATCTTTTAATATTTATATTGGAATTGGTTACTTATTCTTTTTTCCAGATTAGAGATTTTAATCTTCTGCACTTCAAATTTAAAGCACGCTGTATTACAGAGCATACAATTCCTTGCTGGCTGTTAGGTTTGTTATTTGTTTAGTTCATTGTTCCACTTTTTTAGTTAAGGGTTCTTTTTTATTTGACTTAACTTTGATTTTTGAAACGGTACCTGCTGCTGCTAATGAAGATTTTTCAAGAGGGTTTTGCCTTTCTGAAGAGTTACGTTCAAGGATAAAAATGAGTGTTCCAAAGAAAGCTAGGAGTTCTGGTGATGAAATTAAATTTATCTTCTTGGTAAGGAGTCTTCATTCATTTGGTTTTTAAGATGATAAAAAGTTATTTGTTTTCTTACTTGGTCTTTTGCCAAGGGATTGAGTTGCTTTTATGACAGAGACATTTCAGATGAGGATGAGGCTTTCCATGTAAGATAGAGATGTTACAAAACTATAAATGGATGTCTTATTATCTAATTAGGTTCAGTTTGTATTTAATAGATATAATAGTATTGGTAGGTCTGGAGTACTTTCTCTGCATGCTTAGGGTAAATTGTTTGCCTATTTTGGGAGCAACAATTTGCAATGTGCTGTGAATGTTTGTAGATGTGCTTCAACGTTGAGGTCAATTAATTTCTAAACTCATGATTACATTGACTATCCTAATAGCTAGGTATAATGCGAAAGAGTGTAGCCTTAACCACACTTGTGCATAATGTTGTTTTTACTAACTGAAGCAACTGCTGACAGTGTTGTAAACTTTGCTTCTTCCTTTATTCTTTCAACGTTTAGGATTAATTGGTTGTTTTTATACAATCAAAAGTTGGTCATGAAACATGAGTGATACGTTTCTATACAAGTTTCGGTGGGGCACCAATAGAAAACAAATTTTCTGTTTGTGTAGCAATGTAGTTGAAGGCTACCATATTTTCTGTTTATGTTGAGCAAAACTATGATCAGCATCAGCTATATCCGTATAAAACAAATCATCCATCGTGTCCTTATTTGTTATGCTACTTTTTTAACAGTTTCATAGAAAACAAATTGATCGCTTTCACTTTTGAAAGCAACTAAACTCTTTTACCAAATCAAAATCTCTTTTTCAAGTTTTAATATTTCACTGTAGTTTTTTGTTTTTGCCTTTTTGAATGGGTAGTGTTGTTATTTTGGAGGCTTGCTACTTGACTGCATTTATACATTGTTGTACTAACAAAATATAAATTTTCAATTTCATATCGAAATGAGTATATTTCCAACCCAAAGTATAGGTCCATTTGAAGCTAGCAAAACATTTAGAGTTTGTGTTAGCAAAATGTGTAGACAAAAAGTTTTCAAATCTAATATTCAGTTTTCTCATTTGCACTGCATATGGGTTGATGCATTGGTAAGAAAAATATCTACTTACACTATTCAAATGTAAATATTAGTTAACTAATTTTTTAGTTGAATGACTGTTTGGATGCATAAAAATGTTTTTTGTTCAAATGTCCTTTTGAATGGATAATCAAATCGATATAGATTATTTTTTTATCCTTTACTTTATCAGTTTATCTTACTTATTTGAGCTAAATGCAAATCTCAATGTTGCATAGTTAAGCCCTGAAATTAGAACACAATTTCTTTACATGAAACTGAAGTTTTCTCTAATTGAGAACTCTCGTTTTGTTCAAATTGCATTACAAATTTTGTGTTTTTTCTTTTTCTTTTAACAGGTTATCACAATACAATAGGAAGATGGATTAGAGAGGTGTTGATTTGATTTTCTTTTTACTTTAGCAATTCCGGATAATGATCATGAATGTTGGTGATATTGCATCTTTTTTTTTTTTTAAATTTTTTTTATATTTTATACTACGATTATGGATATTGTTTATTTCAAGCATGTTATTGTGATAGCTAAATGGTTCATATTGCAGAACATGCTTAAAAAATTATAGCTTTAACTGATCACTTGCAGTAACTCCCGTTGTATTCTATTTGCTTTTGTTGCTGCCGGTCTGCAAGTAAATCTTCACTTTCCATATAAAGTTTGCATTTTTCTATTCCTGACACAATTATTTGACACTAAGTTTTCTTTCAAGTTGGTCTGTGAGTGCATTTTCCACTGATCTTTCTGTCGAACTCTCATTGAGTTCCGATTTTGATCACAATATTCTTTGAATTTTCTTCTCTGTCCTATGTCGTATTCCACTTATTTCAACTTCCAATTTCTCCACATTAAATGTTCATTGTTTAAGGGCATTGTTCTAATATTATATTATTTTACCAAAATTGTAGACAGTATACTTCTTCCAAAATAAGAGAAAAAAATGTGTGATTGTCTGCAAAGCACTTACTAAAGACAGAAATATAATATGTATGTATATCTTCTGTATGTTTGCATTTTAAATTTTCCAGATTGGGTAATGAATATGATTGAATTTATTCCAGCAGCGTCTATCAGGCAAATATGATTGATGAACTTGACGTTTATCCCATTAACTTTCTTTGCAATGCATGACGTGTTTTTGGTTTTCTAGCTGCTGAGTATGGAACGCCAAAGAACCCCCTTAATCAGGTAGCTCCACATATTTAGGGAGATATTTCTTTAAAAATTTATTTTTGGTTAGTTGTATATTTCGATTTTGATTCTCGAGGCAAAAATGAGATTATCGACTCTTGCCAAATAACTGTCTTTTGATTTGTTTTCATTTTATGTGTTCCTTGGATAAACAGCTACATATCAACATCAACGGTGTGTTGCCAATTCAATTTGCAATAGTGTTTGAAAATGCTCAAGGAGAAGGAGAGGTCAGAAATTTCGTTTGGATTTTATACTTTGGAAAATGTTATATTCCTGCCAGAGGTCAAATAGGTTCTGTATTAGTTGTGTGTGTTGATGTGGGGGTGTTGGGTTGTTAGAGTTGATCCTAGCTGATTTTGATATTATTGATTCCTCAGTGTCATTAAGTCGATTGAATTCGATTTTTGAAGCTTGGGAAGAGGATTGGGTCTCAAAGTTTGATTTTCATGTGTTTGGTTTTTGGTTTAGTCAATTCTTTACTGAAAAGTTGTATTCCATTGAGCTACGATTTTTTGTACGTCGGCTTTATCGATTCAATCTTTGGTACATGAACATCTTTCTAATGTTTTCAATGTAAATATTATTAATCTTCTATCACAAAGAGCAATCTTTTATATCTTTCAAACATAATCTTTCTTACAATTCTTTATCCCGCAGCAACGCGGGGGTAGCAATTTCTAGTCTAAACTAAAACGTCGTAGTTAATCTAAAGTCTTGTGAGATTTGGTACGTCATCTCAAAATTCCTTTAAGCATTTTAAGCACTCGAGTGGCTTTGGAATGGTATATTTTCAAGACTTGCAACATGGGCTATAAAAGTCAATGACTCACTCTTAATTATTATTATTTTTTTTTCTAGATTAATTTAGATAGTAAAGGAATGCCTCACTCTTAATTATTATTAATTTTTTTTTTTCAAATGACCGATTGAATGTGAATCGATACGTGATTTATATTTCTTGGCTAAGTACCTAAACATGCTAACTGTTACAACCACAACAATTGCTAAAGAAGTGTCTTAAGTTTCACACTTGTGGATCACATTAAAAAACCATATAAAACTAACCATAGTACTCGATGTTAATAGATTCGTGATTGGTTTAAAAATATTACGGATTTTAGTTATGCAGCCTTACATCCGACCCACGATTAGTTTGCTGTGCACAATTTATTTCTACAACTTTTCGCATACCATACGAACAAAATTGATTAACAAGTAGTTATGCTTCATCAGTTATATAATCAAAATAAACAAATATATTAGGTTCCATCTGATAACCATTTCATCTATTACATAATTTGTATTTTTTTTTTTTCAAACTAAAAACTGAAAACTAACTTTTGAAAATAAAAAATTAATTCATATCAAACAGCTTCTTAAAATTACCATTGCGTGACCCATCAAATGAATAACAAATTCTAATCGAGCTGCCTTCTCAATCTCCTGTAAACTCAATCACCAGTAAAAGTACTTGTCAGCTGAGGACAGTCCACACGACTCATCTCCTTGTAATTTCTAAGAAAACTAACGAAAAGTCAAAAATATTTAGTTTTAATGAAGAATAACAAATAAATGTGTAGTGAATAGTACTAAAAAAAGGTAAAAATGTGATTTTTCGTTAAAAGTGAACAGTACCGAAAGTGTTTTGTTAAAACTTCCTAATTTCTAACCCGAATCCTGCCCAACTATTTTGGACGAGGATCCTCCCCAGATGCTCTTCGTGAGAGTCCCATGATCGCTTCATCGTACATCGTGTAGTTAGTTTTCGGCAAGTAATGTTTGTGTTCAATTTTAAATAAAAAAAATTCAAAATAATTTATAGCTACATGATGTACGACGAACAAACACAATAACAAAGTTATCTCCGGAATCCTTAGAAAGGGAATCCGGATAGGATCCTATTCCAACTATTTTGGCCAAAAAAATAAAAAAAATACCTTCCCAGATCATGGATGTGCATGTTACATGTTACACTCGTGATTTTGTAGTTGCATATTTACTCACATGGAATCCATCCAGCTACAGCCTGGAATCTTGGCGAACCCCTTCTTCTCCATGACTTTTCTCAATCTCCTCTCATCGTCCCATCTCGCAGCAGAAGCATAAATGTTGGCAAGAAGAACGTAATAACCGCTTTTATCAGGCTCCAACTTAAAGCAATTCCGAGCAGCAGTCTCACCAAGCTCAACATTGTTGTGTAATGAGCAAGCAAGAAGCAAAGCTCCCCAAACCCCGGCTTGAGGCTGCATTGGCATGCTTCTTATTAGCTCAACTGCTTTGTCCAACTGTCCTGCTCTGCCTAAAAGGTCGACCATGATTCCATAATGATCGCCCGATGGCTCAAGTCCATGTTACTTTCATGGAATTAAAGCATCGGTGGCCTTCTTCAACTAGACCGGCATGGTTATAGGCAGTTAGCAATCCAGTGTATGTTACCACATTGGGGCAAATGTCGGCATTTACCATATCTTCAAACAACTTGGTTGCTTCAACTGCCTTACCATTTATGCCGCATCCCAAGATCATTGCAGAATATGCAACTACATCTCTCTTTTTCAAGCCATGAAACAACTTAGATGCCCTATCAATGTCTCCGCATTTTGTGTACAAATCAACTAAAGCAGTAGCCAAATGATCATCTAATTCAATTCCGTGCTCACTCATATAGAACTCAGCCCACAACCCAAATTTCATATCTCCCAGTTGAGAACTAGCAGATATAACACTAGCCAAAGTCGTCTCATTTGGTTGAATATTCACTTCCAGTTTAAGCATCTGGTTGAACAGTTCAATGGCCTCCTTTGGTTGGCTATTTTGTGCATAGCAAGCTATCATGGCATTGAACAAGAGCACATCCCTTTCACTCATCTGATCAAAGAGTTGACGAGCGGACTCAACATTGCCGCATTTTGAGTACCCGCTAATGATCGTGATCCAAGAAACATTATTTCTTAACGGCATGGCATCAAAAATGCCTCTAGCCGATTCCACTCTTTCACATTCCACATAACCACTAATCATTGCATTCCAAGAAGCCAAACTCCTCTGTGGAATTTGTTGAAACAAGAAATATGCCTTGTCCATATTTCCCATCCTCGCATACCCCGAAACCATGGAATTCCAAGACACAACATCCTTATTTGGAATCTCATCAAACACCACCTGAGCCTCCTCCATATCCCCAGATTTCAAATACCCGGACAAAACAGAATTCCAAGAAACCACATTCTTCTCAGGCATTCTATCAAACACCTTCCGTGCAGTTTTCATGTCACCGAGTTTCGAATAGAAATCAACGAGCGCAGTTTGTACATAAACACACCCACAAAACCCAAATTTATAAACCTGGGCATGGATCGATATCCCACCCAATTCATTCAAAATCCTTGCAGATGCCCTCAGAGCAGAGGACACAGCAAAACTAGATGGGCAAAGTCCGAGCCTTTTTATCTTAAGGTAAAGAGAGAGAGCCGTTTCGTACTGGGAATGCAGAGAGAAGTAACGAATGGCGCAGCTCCATGAAAATGCATCTGGGTTTTTGAGATTGTGAAGGATTAGGTGCACGTAGCGGGCTGTAGCTGCAGAGAAGGTGAAATCTGAGTGGAGGACTTGGCGGAGCAAGAGGGTTTGGAGGTGGTGGAGGCCATTGGATATAATGGGTGCGTGAACTTGTTTGAGTTGCTTCAGGGTTAGAGATTTGTCCAGTAGAAATCTAAGATTTTGACCATTTGGATTCATCTTCTTGTTCTCTTCATGATTTACCACAATGAAGTGAGAACTTCTAGGATCGAGTTTTCAAAGCCTCCAAGTGTCTGTGAAGTTTTTACTTCCAGATAGCGGCAGGGAAGGGAATGGAAGCGCTTGGGCTGGGCGCCGAGTTAAACTTGGGTGTCCTTGGGTTGGGCCTCTGTTCGTTTTTTTGGTTTTTGGTCAAAAAAGGCGTTCTTTTGTTCTGTCTTTTTATCTGAGCAAACTTGAGTGCCTTCGGTAGTATTAGGCATCTTAGACCAACTTCAATAGTGGGTTAAAAATCAAATTACCTTCCAAAATTTCCCCCCAAACCCACTCCAACTCAAGAGGAAAATTTGGGCTAAATGCTAAATGCTAAACCAAGGTCAAATTCCCCCCAAAATTTAGCTCATAAATCAGAGTGGACTCTATCCAATATTTATCGGAATTAAAATTTTTTTAGATTAAAATGTTCATAAAATTAATTTACGATAGTCTACATATTTATTTATTTATTAAATTTAATTTAACAAAAAAAATAGCCTAAGTTCATTCTTTAATAATCCCAGACTAAAATTTTAGGCTAGAACGGTTGGAGCAGAAAAATTGTTTTTGGGCTAAAAGGTAAATTTTTCGGGCTAAAATATTTGGCTTTTAGCCCAATCATTGGAGATGATCTTAGGGAAGTTATGGATCGAAAAGGGAATAAAAAGACATTAGATAAACCAGTCCCCATATCCAATCAAACTTTTAGATGATGTAAATCACATATACATTTTTAATTTTATGTGTTACTAAACGTCATGAACGAGAATAGTTCCAAACTTCGAATACCCATACGGTAGTAAAGGAAGAAATTAGAATAATTCCACCTATTCCAAGATGATCAACTTCTTACATCAGTTTTTTGAGAAGTAAACAATTGCATTTGTAGTGGACGATCAAGCACTGTTGGAAAAGTTTCTCATGCAAGTCCAAATTTGACCAAGTGTCACTCATGATTCACGCACCATGTAAATTTAAAGAAGGAGAAGGGCCATTTACAAATACTAGGTCAAAAAAATTCCCCACAATGATTCGCAGTTTGTTCACAATGATGATAGAACCTCGACAAAGATTATTAGATGGTTGACGATGGAATGACTGACTGACTGAGTGACACTTGGCATAATATCCAAGTATATTCCTTTCGAGAGGATTTAGATCCCATCGAGAATCCTAGAGATCTTTATATTCTATCTGTTTATCGTTCATCGTGCTGTCAAAAATAATTTTGAATTTTTTTATTTAAAATTAAACACAAACAATATCTAACAAAAACGGATCACATGATATACAATAAACGGATAAGATACCAGGATCCTCATAAAGAAAATCTAGAGAGGATCCTCAAAGCATGAAGATTAACTGATATATCTCATCTGCAATCTGCTAATTAAGCAAGCTCGCATGCAATGCTAATCATTTTTGGCGCAAATCGATGTCATATATTTTGAGTAGGAGACGACAAACACAAATAAAAAGTGGTCGACTTTCTTTAATATGTTGAAGTCCACGCACCAAATCATTTGCAGGCATCACCATCGATCATCATTCGTGAAACTGAATCGTACTGATCCAATGGTGGCTGGTGGGGGCCGATCATCATTCATCATTCGTCATTCCTCACCACAATGTGGAGCTTTGGCCCATCACTAAATGATTCTATGTTTGATGCGTATATCACTTTTACTGAACAGATGGGAGTTACACAACTAGGAGAGTGATTGTCTGTTAGTATCAATCTAAATTATTTTGTTATCCAAAAAAATATATCAAAATACTGTACTTAATACATTGTCGATGTTTCAAAAAATATATATCAA